TCTGTAGTGACTGAAGTTCACGAAAACAAGTTGGTTTTGTCAAATTATGTCCAATATTTTTTAAAACTTGTATTCAAACACCGGTCACCGGCGGAGCTGCAGGTTAGGTGGTGGGGGTAAACAGTGGAAGGGGGCAAGAAGGGGGGTCTCGAGCCCTGCCCCGTCCTCTCTCTAGGCCGTTGCCGACCCCTGCAGACTGATTCCGAAGAGCGCTCAAGGGGAGCTGCCCCATGAGTGCGACAAGGATGGAGCTATACGGAAGGTATAGGAGAGCGCTCTTCGGAATCAGTCGGCTGGTTCGCAGTACAAACTGTTTGACTTCGAAAGATAACGCAGCACATCAGCCAACTGAAGTGTTCCCCACTACACCCTAACTTTACCCAGCTCTTTACACAGTTTTCACAAGAGTTTGGAAGTTTTTATTTTTTATTTTTAACGCAACTTATTGTTTAACACGGTCCGATGCGGCTGTGCATTCTGTGGGGTATGTAAAAACCAGCAAAGCGTGGCCACATTGTGATCGCGCGGAACTGAACGTGTTAAAGCCTCATAATGTTCTCACCACAGTGTCCGTTTGCGTAATAGGCGAACCACGCGGCGGGTGTTCTCGCGACGGGGGTTTCGAGGGAAGGAGGGGGAGGGGGGAAGGGGGAAGGTGAGGTGTGCTTGCCAAGTATTATGCGAAGGCAGGCGGCAGTGGCGCGGCTGGCCGCGCGCCGCCGTCGCCGGTCACGGCTTTGAGGAGCAGCGCCCCTTATGGGCCCCTGCCGCCGGTTCCTCTTCGCGTCGAACCGGAAACGACGATTTGAGGGAACCGGAAGTAGTGAGGGTGGCCGGCGGGGACCTGAACGCACCGCGGAAAGCAGTGTGCGCGCGTGCGTGCGCATCCGTCCACCACGTGGACGTACTGTGCACAACCACTCAGAGCATAGCTCAAAAAGGATTTTCGTGTTTCCTTATCACGTCATGTGTGTTGATCCTCGGACCCGCCCGCGAGCCGCGCGGGGGCGGCGGCGCGCTGCGGCGGTCAGAGGAGTGAGTGAGTGCCTCGCGCTCGCCAGCCAGCCGCCGTCCTGACGCGGCGCGCCGAGCAAGACTCTGGCTCGCTATAAATAAAGAGTGCGACTTGCCTTGCATCCTCCAACCGTTCCACCCTGCCTCGGCAGCACCCCCTCCCCCTCCTCCCCTTTCCTCCCTCCCATTTCCCCTTCCTCTCGAACCCCCTCTGCCCCGGGCGGCGCGGCGGCGGGGGGCCTCGCGCAAAAATATTTACATAACATACAAAATAGTGCATTTGAGTAGAAAAGAAATGATAATAGGCCTCGGCCGAGGTTCACTCTTTCTGTTTCGGCCAGTCGTTGCGTAATGAGCGCATATGTCATCGTGACGTCAGCAGCAGGGCGCGACGCGAGCCAGGACGGGGCGTGGCGCGGGCGCCCGCGAGGGGCCGGGGTGGCAAACGCATTGGTCAGAGTGAGACCGACAGCTGCAGCGTGACCGCCGCCTCCCGGCGCGACCAGCGGGAGCGTCACGCCACGATTCATACCGTTAAAATAATGTGCAGTTATGTCAGGTATCATCTGCTAAAAAGTGACAAATTGACGTTATGGGCTTACAGTTATAACGACGTATTTTTAAAAAAGGCCTCTGCGGGATCAATTGGATATTTTAATAAAAACTAAACGTTGGATTATTTGTGCGTTCTTATAGTGGCGGAACGCAGAGTCCAGTACAGGGTTGTCTTGTAAGGCTGACCTCATCGAGGTCCTTGAGCCCAACTGCCACACGCCCCTCCCACTACTCCACCCTCCCTGCCCTACGTCCATCTCTGCGTCTCTCTTGCCTTCGACTGAAATAGCCTCGCAGCTCTCACAGCCCGCATCGGCCTGGTCACTCTGGCCCACCCGTCACGAGCGTCACGATGAGCACCTCACCGAGCTCGTTACCTGGGACTGGGACACCTGCCGTCCGTGTCACGCATTCCGTTCTTTTCCTCCCATCTTCGCGCCATCCGCGGAAAAGAAAAATCGGACGTTTTGTTTTCTTATCTGGATGACAGTTTTTCTGGTGGCTAATGAATACACTACAGCAAGTAAAGGTGAAACCTGTCCGTGTGCTTCTAGGTCTAGGTTTCAGGATGTACACCTTGTCCGCTGACCCGACCCGACCGCCAGACAGAGCGGCGGCACCCTGCGAAAGGTGGTGCCCTAGGACGCGCCGTGTGCCCTGGCAGGGTGGGCGCGCGGTAGCGTCGGTCGCCTCGCCGCCGTCCCTCCCTCCTCCCTCCCTCGAGCGGACGCGGGCCGCCGCCGGGCCGCCCAGAGCACCTGCAGCCGCGGGGTACCGCCGGTGGGTGGCTACTCCTCGCCGGTGCCGAGGCCGTCCCCCACCCCCACACGACACCCCTCTCGGACATGCGCCGCGTCGTTGGGCCTTCCCCCACAGCGCGCTCTCACGCACGGTGCGCGCGGGTCACTCACCGGATGCACTCGATCTCCTCCTCCTTCTCGGAGATGCGCTTCTCGGCCTCGTGACGGAACATGTTGAAGTCGGCGGTCAGGCGCTGGTTGCGCTGCTCCTCGGACTTGCGGCCCTGCAGAAAAAAAAGAAAGAATTGAGCAAAAATGACGCGTTTTGCTATCATGGGACTTTAGATAGTCTTTTCAGAGCGTTTTCCGCGGTACTCACGGCCTCGGCTTCCTTGTAGGCGGCGGTGAGCTCTTCACGCTCGTTCTCCAGACGGCGCAGCTCCAGCTCCAGCTCGTGCAGGCGGCGGGTGAGCTCGGACAGGTTAGCCTTGGCCTCGTGGAGGTCGTCTAGGGGGAAACATGAAAGTCAGTGGGTTAGTGACACCGTCCAGACCGCCTCTTGGATAAAGGCAGTGGCATATTTCACTAAAAATTCAAGCGTGCTCCAATATTTAGTTTTTCTAAACTTTCTGATATTTTCCGATTTTTCCCTGAGATTTCCTGGATAATCCTGGAATTTCGTGGACTTTTCCTGAATTATTCCTGATTCTTTTCTGTGTGTTTTTTTTTTCTTTTGAGGAGGGTGTACACCGGTTGAGTGAAGTACCTTGCTCGGGTGCTTACCGGACAGCTTCTTGTTCTCGCGGTTGAGGGCGTCCTTCTGCTCGCGGGTCTTGTCCAGCTCGTGCACAGTGCGCTGGAGCTCCTGGGCCTTGTTGCGCAGGTCGCGCTGGCACTGCTCGAACAGGGCGGTGGTCTCGTCCAGGCGCGACTTCATCTCGATGTTGATGCGCTCCATCTGCTCGACGCGCTTCTGCAGCTCCCGGGCGGTGTTGTTGGCCTTCTCCAGGTCGATGATGAGGACCTCGACCTCGCTCTGGAGGCGGGACTTCTGCTTCTCCAGGTTGTTGACCTTGACGATGAGGGTCTCGATGTGCTCCTCCTGTTCCTGGAGGCGGGCGGTGTACTTGCGGCGGATCTCCTCGACCTCCTCGGCGCGGGCGGCGGCCTCGGTCTCGTACTTGCTCTTCCAGCCCTGGGCGTCGCCGTTGGCCTTGATGAGCTGCCTCTCGAGGTCCAGGCGGGCCTCAGACTCCTCCTCCAGCTGCACGCGGACGGACTCCAGCTCCACCTCGACCTGGTGGAGGGACGCCTCCAGCATGGAACGCCTCTGCAAAAAGAAAATGGAATTTATAATTTTCAATAACTCCGAATGTTTTCCCCTCAATTTCAATTCATCGGATAAATTTCAACTTTTAGTTAAAAAAACAAATATTTCTCATAGTAAAATTTCAGGGAATTCCTGCTATTTTACAAAATTGGCACGCTTCGGTGACTCACCCTCTCGTCGTCCTCCAGACGGCGGCGGGCGTCCTCGAGCTGGCCGGCGAGCTGGCTCTTGAGGTAGGTGGCGTTCTCGATGTTGACCTTGAGGTCCTGGACCTCCTTGGTCAGCTCAATGTTCTCCTGGGAGAGGCGAGTCTTGTGGGAGGTGATGTCGACGATGGTGCGGTTCAGCTCCTCGATGCGTACGTTCATCTCGTGGATGGTGACCTCAAGCTTCTCGGAGTGCTTGATGGAGATGATCTTCACACCAAATGAAAACATTGTAAGTCTTATTTTTAAAATAGATAACCAGCAATTAAATGGAGGCAATAATTTTTTGATTGCAGCTTACCCTCTCCTTGTTGATGTTCTCAACCTGAGACATGAGTTCGAAGACCTCCTGCTGGAATTTGGACTTTTCCTTTTCAATCCTGCGTGAAAGTGCAAAAAAACCACCGTAAGTTAGTAATCACTTTGTTTTCCTCTGACAACCCTGTGCATTATTTGCATGCCTCCGGCCCCCACCTCTGCCTCTGCTTGGTGAGCTGGTCGATTTGGTCCTGGAAGTCGACAACCGACTCCTGGTGCTTCTTGCGCAGCAGCAGGGCGGTCTCCTCGGACTCCATGTGGACATCTTCGAGAAGTTTGCGGAGCTTGGTGAGCTCTGTGTCGCGTTTCTTGTTGATCTCGAACTATAGAGTGCATAACAATGTACAGTTAGAGTAAAAAACGTTTAAAAAAAATTATGACAAATTTCTTTTAAAAATTAGGTATGCTTTAAAAATCCCTAATTTATACACACGTGTGTAAATGTCACACACTAATGTGAATGACAATTGTCTTGTAAGTGTGTGAATGCCCATTTTTACACTTAAGGGAGTAAAGGTGTTGATTTTCCATAGGAATTCGCACACTCGTACATCCATGTGCACGAATGGCGTTGACACACCTACGAGTCTGCGACATTCGCACGATTGCTTTTCCGGTGATGTCTTCCTGTATTGGCAGATTTACCTGTCCTTCGGCACCGCACTCCGCCTCCTCGAGACGTTCTGACAGGGAGATGACTTGGACGGAGAGGTCTGCCTTCTCACGCTCGATCTGCAACACGGAGAGATGCGGGGGTTGGATGGACGAGGTGCGAGCGAGACGGACGTATCGTGCGTATTTTTAGCGCGTGGCTGGTAGTAGGGCATGGGACATTCCTCGCGAGCAACGGCGTGGCTTTGGGCTCGTGCCTGTATCAACACTGCGCCCCCCAAGACACCCCCCCCCCCC